TCTATTTATTATTAAATTAGAATTTGTCTTTATTTAAATTAATCAACAAATATATTATGATTGTGCCATATTCAAAATAGTCTTATAAAATATGCAAAGTAAATTTTGTGTATTCAAATATGTAGTGCTGTTGTATTCAAATAATATTTAGAAATGAATGTTGACACAAATAGAGTCAAACACATAACTCAATTATAGTTTGATAGAAACAGAACAAAGAATAAGTAATAATTTGAAAAAAATAAGATATTTTAAGTGCTATTTGTTATCAATTAAATTTTATAGTATTCATACTATTACAAATTAAAAATAGAAAAAATGCGAGAGTGATGTTAAGTGTTTATTTTTTGCTCGTTTTTTTTTTGTTGTTGTTGACTGTTTGATATTTTAGTGTTTTGAATTCCCAAGTTTTGAATAAAATAATAAACAAATTGTATTATTGTATTTAGTTAATTTACTATAGTATTTAGTTTTTTTCTTCTTTTATTTTTTAATAATTTGTTATAAAAAATTATAATATTACTATTATAAAATATAATAAATACAATAATAATCAGTTTTGTGTTTTTACGTTATTTTTTTAAAATCACACTTTAAAACAATATTCAAATCACCCATTTATTTTTAACATAACAACCATTTAAAAATATTAAATAAAACTATTTATATAATTAATTAAATTAATAAATTTAACTGACTTTTTAAGTAAAACAACGAAAAATATTCGAAAAAATTGTTTTAAAAGTTATTTGTGAATATGTAAAATTTTTGATTTAAAAAATGGATAAAAAGCTAAAAATTGTTAGATTTTACCCCTTTTAATACAAATAAACCTTTTTAAAAAGTATCATTTTTTTATATTTTAATTATTAACCCTTTTATCTTTTTTATTAAAAATCTTAATAAGAACTACAATTATTCAATAAGGGTTGAAAACACCATAAAGCGATGGTGAATAAAAAATAAAAAAGACAACCAGAGGCAAACCAGAGGCAGACAAAAATTTGAGTGATGGTCAGAAAGAACAGAAGAAGATGCAACAAGACGAAAACGAGATTAAACCCCAATATTATCAACATGTGGGATATTTAATTGACGATCACAAGTAAAAACGCCTCTGTAATATTTAAATGAATGTTGTGTCAACTTTTTTGTATTCTATTTTATTTTTTTTACTAAAACAAGTCTAAAAATAAATCATTATAAATATAACATCTAAAAATATACAAAAAAAAATCATTTTTTCTTATTCCCAAAAGTGCATTATAGGGTTTTCCTTTTTCTTTACACAAAATGAAAAGATGGTAAAAAGTCAAAATTGACTTGTTTTTGTTCTGGAAGTTCTACCAAAATCGACAATGGGTTTATCATTTACAACCACTTTATCACACCCCTATATTATTTATTATATATATATATGTAAATCAATGTAATATCATAATATATTAAATTAAAACAATAAATTTCTATCGCAAACATTTTTATCGAATTAAAAAAATATAAACCTTATGCAAGAAGACGAGATTGTTGGCACATTTAAATGGAAGAAAGAAGGAGAAGCACCAAAAAGCTCACGACACTTTAAAGCTTCGCCTGATCCGACTTACTCGTTTGATCCCAAAGGAAGTAATTTAACTGAAGTTGAGTGTTTTAGGTTGTTTTTTGAAGAGATAACAAATAATTTTTTATTGTTTTCAAATAAAAAAATAGCCAAAGAACAGAAGACTGATGATAACAAACTTTCTAAAACGAGCATCCTGAGGTACCTAGGAATTCTTCTCTACATGGGAGCTCACCATGATGTTATTAATCCCGTGGAAGAGCTTTGGTCAGTCGACCACGGAAAATCTATTTATAGAAATAGAATGCCACGTGACATGTTTAAATTCATTTCTTCACACATCGAAACTTACGATGTGGGCCAGCCAGATGATGTTTGTGATTGTGCATCAGACACTTCAGATGATGGGGATGTCGAAGAGAAAGAGGAGGCTGACAACGGACCAGAAGGAGAATATTTCAATGGTGTGGAATATTCAGACCAAGATTTCAGAGATCTCTCTGAAGAGCAACTCAGGAAAGATGTCAGAATCAAAAGGGGCATCGTTGGTAGTGGAGTTGTTAAAGTCGTCCCTGCAATAACTCCAAATGCACACGACAGCTTTTCTAAAATTAGAATGGTTTTAGATAAGTTTATTTCTAACCTTGTCAACCAAACCTATTACAAACCTAGTAATAGTGTTTCGGTTGACGAACATTTGTGTTAATACAAAGGGCATATGTGGGCTAAGGTGTATATTAAGTCTAAGCCTGGACGTTATGGTATAAAGTTTTGGGTTTGTTCTATTTTTACTAAATGAGTTTTATTTATGAAGTCAAAAATGACGGATAGTTATTATTGGTTTGACATGAATGATCAAATTTAATAATTTAATTATTTGTTTATTTGAGTTATTTATAGTTTTCTAACTCGTAGATGTGTGCTGACTGTGAGACAGGAATGACTCTAAACCTCCAAATGTACTGTGGTAAGTGTGGTGGTAAGGAGGACAATCAGGGCTTTAGAGTGGTCAGGGACATGGTGCTACCCATGTTATGCCGTGGTAACAAGTTTACCGTTGTGTGTGACAACTTCTTCTGTACGTTAAGGTTGTCACACTACCTTGCTTCATGTGGGTGCCAACTTTTGGGAACCATGAGGATTAATAGGAAAGAACTTCCTGACGAAGCCAAAATAATCAAAGGGAGAACTCCCGATACCACCATCTTTTTCTCGAAAGGAAAGTGTAAGCTCATCTCTTACTTCAACGAGAAAAAGAAGCTGGTATTGGTCTTGTCAACCTGCCACGAAAAGAATGAAATTGAAGTCGTCGAGCAGGATGTGTTCATTGGCAAAGAAAAAATGACAATACACAAACCCCAGCCCATCCTTGATTACAACCACAAAATGGGTGGAGTTGACACTGTGGATCAGATGACCAGGTATTATACATGTAGACGTCGAACAAACGGGTGGAACATCAGGGCTTTATATGATTGATAAAGCTGCCTTAAACGCGTATAAAATGTACTCAAATTACCACCCTTGCAAAAGGGTGGATTATTTGAACAATCTTTCTGGTGCTTTAATGAAAATGAAATGATTTTTCTATTTTGTTTGGTTTTTTATAAAGTAGGAACTGTTTATTTCATTCAATACGTGCTTTTTTTATTGAACCTCGAAAAAAATTATCGTGAAATAAAATAAAAATAGGGGTCATTATACCATTTTTTTCTTTTTTTACTTATGGATAAGTTTTTAAAAACTTGTGTTATAACAACATTGTGATGTTGTTACTCAACATCATAAACAACCGTTGGTAAAGTATATGCATGAGTATTATGGTGATAATGGTGTTATAATGGTGTTTGTTGATAATTCTATCAAATTGTAAATTTATTATTACAAAACTACAATTTATTAAATTTTTATTTTTATAAATAATATTTTTTTATAATATAATATAGTTCAAAATATTTTTTTATTGTTTGTTAAGTTTTTTACTATTTGTTTTTTGTTTATAATTTTTATTATCCCTTTATTTTTAATTTAAATTATTGGTTTGTTGCCCAAAAATGCATAATTTAAAAATGCATAAACAGTGAATGCAAAATAAGCATTTGATTACCATATACAATAACATTTATATGAAAATGATAATATCAAATCAATTTTGCCCTTTGTTTTTGTTTGAAAATGATAAAAAAAAATAAAATAACAAATAATGAATTCATATCTTGCTTCTTTGATAATGGCACGATTTGAAACTCAACAGGTGACCATAAAACCTCATGTTGATTAAATTTTATACAAACGCGACTATATTGACTGTTTAAGTCATTTTTCGAGAATTTTTCTCGATTTTGTGATTTTTGATACTTTTGAAAATGTATTTCAAATATTTTTTGTTTATTTTATACTTATGTTCACTAAGATTTTTATTTTTTACAAATTTTGTTTTTTCCCGTCCTTGAAGGGTTAAATAACATAAAAGGATTTTAAGTTATATATACAGTATGGTCACTTTAGCTTATGTGGAACTTTACCTTCTGCAAGGAACCTGTTATAATATATAGTTATTTTATAATATAAAAAAATTGTGGATTCCTCCAAAAATGGTAAAAATAACACAAAATGGATTTAAAAAAATTAATGATTTCAATTTTATTATTGTTAGTGAAAAAAAACACAAATAATTTACAATATATTATTTTTTCATAAAGAAGATTATTTATGTTCATTATATTTGATAAATTTTGATAAATATCATGTTCATAGCAGTTTAATAGAAAAACATACGCTATTTTATATAATTTTACAACTAAATTGATATGGAAATTGTTTAAATTATTCAATCAACAGGAAGATCAATGAGCATCGTAAGAGTGTGGTCGTTTTAAAACGATTTTCAATGACAACCCATTTTATTTCAATGTTTTGGACACCAGCATAAATGAGAAACTCACGTACCAGTAAACGCTGTCCAACGAGAGTTTGTTGACATCGTTTGTGTCATTGATATAAACTGTATTTCAAAACTCTGTACCGTTTCCATAATTTATATAAACCCTTTGTATTAATTTCCCATTATTTACTGTTTTTTATTTGTTTTATTTTTTATTTTCCTTTTTGTTAAAACAACAACGGTACACAGTTTAAAACCCTTAAAAATCAATACAGTTTCAATTATTGAACAAAAAATCGGGAAATCACCCAAATGTTGGGTAAATCTTTCCCGATTTTCCAGGTTCGTTATTTGGTCAGTGGTTTATTTTGTAACTAAACGTGAGTAAAACAACATATTTCTAACAAACACAAGATAAAAGACAACATAACAACAAACAAATGATGTGATGAAGGACCCCACTGCATTAAATAATACAACACTTAAATTAATAATAAGTTTCTATTCATTTTAACAATTAAAAAAGTAATCGATAACATAAAAAACATTTAAACCAATCGAGGTTATTAATCAAAAGAGTCTTAAATAAAATAAACAGTTCAAAAATAAAAAACTTTTCAATTGTATAGTCTTAACCTATTTATCTTCTCTGAATGCCTATTTTACTTGTTTATACTTTTCATTTTTATCCAAAACACAACTTGGTGATTCTGTAAACATGGACATCGAATCATATAGTCGTGTTTTCATTTTTGGCAAAATTTGTGTTGTGGTAAACAAAATTTTAATCCAAAGTTTGTTTTTTATATATTTTTCAAGTAAATTATTGGTGCAAGATTTTTTTGTCAAGTAGAATTAAAAAAAATCAGGTTTGTTATCTTGTTTTTTTCGAGTAAATATTTTAAACAAGAAATGAGGGTTAAGCAAAGAAAAAATAATTTAGGAATAATAAGTCCAATAAATTGGGACGTCCCAGTACAGAGTTTTGAAAAACAGTTTATTTTTGCGTAATTGTATTTCCTTTGGCGACGAGACAAGCTGGTAGTAAGTATCATATACCATGTTACAAAACAAAAAAATACAAACCGGTATCGGGAATTTCTCTTTACGTTGGCTAAAGTCGTGGTGTAGAGACTTTAAACATTAATTTATTTAATTTAAACTTCTGGTTTTCTTGTTCAAAATTATCCAAAAACTACCTCAAAATAGCTTTTTGCATAAGGCAGTGTGTCTGGTATTATTAGAATTGAATTGTTTTAACTATTTAAATGGTTTTGTTATATTAAAATTAAATAATAAAATCCTTGCATAAGGTAAAGTTTTGCATAAGGCAGAGTGTCCATACGGTATATAACAATATAAAAACACAAATAAGTTATCATTGATAACATAACCAATATAACATTTGACATTTATATTACTACATTTTATTTTGTTATTTTTCATAAAAAGTATAAATATATCATATTATATTTTATTTTATCATTACATTAAAAAATTGACATTAAAAATGTAAATTAATTAATGTCTTTATATTCCAATCGTGGATGAGATTTTCCAAATGCAAAATTTTCAATAATCGTCGATCTTTTCAAGTTTTTGACCAACACTAGATTTTTGCAATCATAAAATGCATTCTCTTTAATCAACCGCGTGTTTTCACCAACCCATATCTCTTTCAAACTATCATATTTATTCTCCAGATAATGACTTACAACAGTAACATCGTCCGGTATATAATAAACCCCATTATAAACTTTCCAGTTGTAAAGATAATACAACACGATATCTCCTTCAATTTTGTATTTTGGTTTCAATAATTTATAAATTTGATAATCCACATTTCCACGATATATAAAGTCTGTTTGTATTTGTGCAAATTCAATGTTTTTTATTATTCGGTAATCCAAGTTTAATATTCGTTCGTTATTCAACAAGTCGTTGTTAAGAAAAGTAATTGATGTTAATTGCCCGCTCCAATTAATTATATTTCCATATTCTTCTGTATAAAGTAAAGCCGCTTCTTGTATTGTTGTTAGTAATGAAAAGTCAAAACATGTATTGAGACACTTTGGTAAAAGTAATTTTTTGATGCTTTTACATTTTTCAAAATTCACGGGAAATATTGCCGTCACACTATCTGGGACCGAATAAGTGTCAATTTCCAAATCTTTTAATCTCACATCATTTTTAACAGTCTTCAAGTTTGTGATATTTGATGGTAACATTCCATTGAGTAATTCACAATCTTTACAAGTGTACACATACTCATCGACTTCCAAATTCTTTGCGTCAAATAACGTCTTCATCCAGCACGCAGCCTTCCCTTTTACTAATTTAGCACCAACAATTTCAATTGATTGTAACGAATCGCACTGATACAATTTGTTGAAAGTTATAGTCGAATTCATTGTGAGTGCCGTTAAAGTTTTCAAGTTTTCTTGTTTTTCAAAAACCTCCACGTGCGACAAATCAAGTTGTTTTAAGTCACTACCAGACAATGCATCTTTGCGAATCACTTTGACTGTTGGTGCAATGTTTTTGTCACCAATATATTTCATTCCGTAAAAGGCGGATTCACAAATTTCAGTTACTGGACAGTCAATAGAAACATATTTTATGACATCGTTTCTTGTGATAAACAGTTTTTTCTTGATATTGGAAAATACACTTAAACATGACGCGTTCAATTCCAAATCAACACTTTGTGAAGGACGTGCTGTCACGTGTTGAATAGATAACACGTCGTAAAATGGGCAGTTCCCGCACTCTGTCAAATAGGAGCAAAACGTGAGAGCAGAGAGTTTGTCACACCCAATAAATATATGAAAACCCGTTTTGTAAATCACGAGCAGAAAAGGCGATATGTGGGCATACCACTTTCATTTTCTCATTCAACATTTTTAATTTTGTGAGATTAAGAGGGTAGTGCACATAATACTGATAAAATCCAGAGACAAATTTGTCATGTTTGCTATACAAGTGAAGCGTTTCAACATTTTCAAAATAAATTTTTATCTTTGGTTTCCATGAAATTGGGTTGAAGTGAAACATCAGTGGAATCTCTTCAAACTTTTTGCAAACCAAAATCAAGTTTTTAAAGTCATTCAAACACACAAAATATTTAGAAACAATCATCATCGAGTACCGGTCTAAAAACGTTTTCATTCGATGTATTTGTATTTTGAGTTCATTTTTATAGTTATTTTCATAAGATTTCATGTTTTGTTTTTTACAATAAATTTAATATAATAATTTATAATTATAATGTATTTATTATAAATTATTTAAATACAATCAAAAATGTCTATTTGTCGTAATTATAATTGTCAAATTCTCAAATTTGTCGAACAACTGGCCAATCATTTTGGTGTAAGACAAATAAGTATTTTGTTATTGAATCTGTAACTTTTGTTGAATATAAAACCATATTTTTAATAAAAAAATAAATTTCAATATTAAATAGAATTTTCTACAAAATTCACTCATTTACGACAAATAGATATTTTTTTCTGCTGGATTTACGACAAATAGACGCCTTTGACTGTATAAATAATTATATAATAATTATAATCCCAAACATTAACATGTCTTATTAATAAAATTAATTAAAATATAAATAACTTTATTAAAATACAAAAATAAATTTATGATAATGTTTTATATACATGTAATTAAATAACAAGACACCAACATTTGTTATTTCCTGTTTCTTTTCTTGTTTATATTTTAAAATTATTCGCAACACAGCCGTACTTCATTTCTTGAACACCCATATTGTTTTTAGTAAAGGTGTAAAACAGTTGAGTTCCGCACTTTTTTATCATTTTAATTTCTTTCTTGTGAAGATACATTTCGTTCTAAGTTTGATTTATAATTCCACTTGAAACTAAACATGATAAGTTTAATTTAAAATATATGGTATTTATATTAAAGATTATAAATGATTCACAAAATTATAAAAATCCTAAAAGAAATATTGGTAAAAAAGTCAAAGAAATAATTCAAAAAAATTTGAACCAAAGGAAAGATAAATTTTCATAAATTGTTAAGGTAGCGAAAGAAAGAAGGCAATATTTATAATTAATTTTTTTCGATATACTTCGTTTATTTAAATTTGAGCTCTTCTCAAATGGTTAAAATAATGGAATTAATGGAACTGGTTTTAGAAATATGTGGTGTTAAAAAAATATTATTGATAATAAAATGTGTGCAAAAACAATTTGAAGTAAAATAAAATATATATCATATGTTGCAAAAGATGATAAAAAATTATGGTATAAAAAAGTGCCCATATTTCATAATAACAGATTCGCAATCAACCAATTCAGATGAGCATTATTCATTATTTGCAAGATTCTATTTGGGCAATTTTATGACAAAAGAATTAAAAATAAGAATTAAAAATAAGAATTAGTTATTTCTATGGAAATAAAAAATCTTCTGGGTGGTTGGATTGGATTAAAAAATCGTTAATAAAAAGAGAATTAAGTTTTGAAAATATAAAAAATATAACAGTTGATGGTACAAATACAATGAAAGGTGAGGATAATGGGTTATCGGGTAAATTGATGAAAAGTTGTGATAATTGGAAAGTATGTTGGTTTAAAAGTAATTATTGTTATAACCACCGCCTTAATATTAATTGTAAAGTGATGTGTGAGATTAATAAAGAAAAATTGATGGAATTGTTTTTAATACAAATCACAACCGAAACATACAGAAATGCATGGCATAATTATATAAAAAACGAAAAATTGAATGATATGTTAATAAAACTGTGTACTTATAGTAATACAAGATTTGTGTTTAATGAAAATGTTGCAAATGTATTATTTGAATGTTATGAACCATACAAATTGTTTAGTCAAAATGATAAATGTAAATTTAATGAAATTGAACACGAAAAAATATAAAAAAAATGAAATGGGATTACCATTATTAAATAATGAAATATTCGTTGGAATGTTATAAGTAATGGAATTGATATTGTGTTATGATTATATCCAGCTGGTTGCAATCACCAGAAATGAGACTGCCAGTGGCTCTTGAAAGAATCAAAAGAATGATTGAATATATGTATGAATTGAAAAATGAAATAAAAAATGAAATAAGCAAACAGTTTGAGGATCTTCCATTTATCAAAGAAATAAACGACGCTGAGAAAATAAAAATTGTGTCGAAAACTTCCCATTGAACTATTATACAGATTTTTAAAGGGGTCATTATTTCGGTTTGTGAACCCTTTGCGTGTTCGTAAAAACACTGAACTTGTATACAATGAAAAACTTCTTGACACTTATGATGAATTCGTTCGAGTTATTGATGAAGTAAGAGTATTAAAAAAGAGCGAAAAATCAAATGAAATTTTAAGAAACGAGGAACAACAATTGTTTGAATTTCAAAAAAGCGGCAGATGATTTGGCAGGGGATATCGAAATATTTATGATCCCAGAAATTATTGATAAAATAAATATTACAAAATTTGATGGTGATTATGCAACAAAAGTGGAAAATTTAGTTAAATACCTAAAAACAATGAAAATGTAATGAAAGAATTGAAAAAGTGACAACACAAGTGAATATCAAGTACCCAAAATAAAAATGAAAGAAGAATTGAGAAAAAAAACTAAACTATGTTACATTAAGCGGACACTTTAGTAACATAGTTTATCACTTTGATAAAGAAAATAATATTAATGATGAAGAAAGTGTAATAACAGAATCTGACAGAGCAGAAGAAGTAAGTGTAGTTGATGAAATACCAATAAAGTTGAAATATTTAAAAGATAGAGTGGAATTTAGAAATTGGAAAAATGAAGAATTGCAAAATTTTAATCAATTTTGCCCAAATATATATATATATAACAACAAAAATGGTATTAAAAACTATGAAAGATGAAAAAAAGAAAAAACATCCCAACATAATAAAATCCGTTGAAAATATGATATTAATAGCAGTGAGTACTTGGACTTATGAGAAATTATTTAACAAATTAGAACAACAAAGCAAACAAAATTTGTATGATGAACACAGAGAAGAAAGATATGACGCGAAAAATATATTTAAATAATTGATTAAAAATTAAAAATTAGTTAATAACAATGATAATAAACAAACATTAATAAGCTTCTTTTTATTATTCAGTTCGCTATTTATTTATATAAATTGAGGTAAATTTTCAAATTATATATTATTATTTATTGTTAATATTTATATTAATTGATTATAAATTGATACCATATTATTTTTGTGATTAAAATTTTAATAAAATGAATAATATTTGGATTAAATCATTAATTCTAAAGTTTTTTATCTTTTATTTTAATATATTGTTTGTCTCTTTATAACATATTTTGAAAAGAGTCTCAATTATACCTATTTTTTAGTGATTTGAAACAAATAAAATATATTTTTAGATTACCAACTTTTTATAATTTCGGCAAATTAAAGTGTTTTTTACCATGAATTTTTAAAATTAACTTTAAATATAATACATGAAAAATCTTTAAAATATTTTAAAAACTTAAAATTCGATATGAGTAGAATTTATTTTCATATTTGTGTTTTTTAAATTTTTGAGGTTTATTGTTGATGTAATTAGTGCAAAATCCATTTCAAATTATTTTCAAAATAACAAAAATAATATTGTTAGTAAATTAATACTAATGATTATTGTACATATTTATTTGATTCTAATTTATTTTGAATGAAATTAGTTTTATTTTCAAAAATGTTATATTTGCCAAAAAATACACAACATTTTATTTAAAAATTGGGAATTGGGTTTAAACCATAAAAACGATAAAAAACCGAGACATTAATTGTTTCGCTTTACAAAAAGTGTTCACAATACATTTTAGTTTTTAATACCCAAAAAATAAAAAAACATGTTATTTCAAAAAACAATTGTAATAAATTAAAATAAATTAACGGTTTTTTAAATATAGTATGGTCACTTTGAGTTGTGTAAAATTTTGCGATTTAAAAGACTTTTATAATTAATTTATAATAAAATAAACCATTATATAGTTTGATAATTTCTATTTTTAATTATAAAATTACCATATATTATAATTTATTATTAAAAAATACTTGGTGGAGATAATTAATAAATTAATTTATATTAAAATTTATTAATTTTATTATAATATTTATTTCTTAAAACACAAATTATTATTAATTACTAAAACTAACAAACGTTAATTTAAAAAAATGTGTTAAATTCATTGTTAAATCCATTAATTATGTTTCATACATTAAAAAATTCTTAACCCTGTTTTTTTCAAAAAGTTTTTTTGGTTAGGCAATTTGGTCCTTCTTTTTTAAAACATACTCTGTAGCTTTTGCATTTTTTACTCACAAAATTTTTGTCTCATTTTTGTTTTTCTGTTTTTTTGAATATCAAGTGCACCTTTAATCAACAAAATACACTTTTATTTTTGGAAAAATACTTTTACCAAACTTTTTTAGAATTGTGCAAAAAAATACAGATTTAAAAATAAATCATATACATTTTATATTTAGAACTGGTCTTTTAATTCCCGATCATTTAAGTCTACATAGTGTATTATTTAACTATAAAAAATGAAAAGTTATCCAAAATGAACAAAATAACACTAAATTATTAATTGGTTTAACCAACAAGCATAAACACCTTTATACCAAAAAGACAAAAAATACATTAAAAATTATTACAACTGAAACCCCCGGTTCTTAACAGAAATAATACACTGTTGTCTAAAAAATAAAACCAAAACGGCAAAAAATACGACTATAACAGATATTTATGTTGTATAGTAACGGGAAATATTATTAGATGAAACTTGAATATATACAAAACCTCAATCTTAAAAATAATAAAATTATCTTTTAAATCGAAATTTTGACGTTTTCTTTTTTTTCAGTGTATTAATAATAAAAATTTAAAGTATAATTTAATTTTTTTAAAATAATAATTAAATATATAATAAATATAGTAGTATTATATATTTATAATACTACTAGTACAGTGGTGGTATAAACCCACTTAAGTGAGTAAATTTTGTGAAACTTTGGTTGAACTTTAAGCAAAAATAGAAAAAACTTAAGTACCATTCTTTATAAATAGAAAAATGGGTTTGATTGGGTCTTTTCTTTGTTTTTTGAGAAAAAAGTCATTTTTGCT